TTATATTCAAAATGTCCATACTTGGCTTGAAATAGAGACTTCTATTCATTTAATTTATTTTTTTATTTTTTTATGTATACTATATTATATATTCTTTACAGATCTATTTTGATATAGATCTTTGCTTTATTTAATTAATAAAAAAGTCTTAAAATTAAAGGTAGAAGATATATCTACTTGATCGTGTTCTTGTTTAATCCTTGATAATTCACATGCAATTGTTGTGATTTATCTTTTTTCTTTATAATTAAGATAGGAACTCTTGCTAAAAATTTAGAATGGCATATAAAATTCTTAGTCATGTTCTCATCAATGTACTCCTTAAGTACTACCAATTTATTTTGTGATAAGCTCCAGATTGGTCCAAAGGTAGTTGAGCTCTTTTTTGAAGGACAATTGAAAAAACATAAGTGAGATGCTCTAAAAGAGTATTTGCTTCTTCTTTTTAAAAATATCTTGATAAACTCTATTATTGATTTAAAATTCCATTTAAAATCTTTCTACCATCAATAATATATATAAAATAAATACCAAAAGATAATCCTTATTTTTCAATACACATAAAAGTCCTTGCATCTTTAAATAAAGATCTAATTGTATTGGACTTATGAATTTTTATATGAATTATAGAATTTTAGATTAAACTACAAAAAAAAAACTAAATTATAATAGGTCTAATCTATTTGGAGATTATAGCTACAATAATTCTAAAATAATTAGACTAAAAAAAGATTTAGATACATTAAATATCATTAAATTTTTATGTCTATTAATTTCTACTTTTAAAGAAATAATTTTATGGCTAATATCTCTAGATGACATCAAACAACCATCTATGACTTTTCTATATATAGATTTAGTTTTTTAAATTAAAGATATTTCCTATTTTTTTAAAAAAAACTTTATCTATGTAGTAAGCTAAAGATCTTAAATCTAATAAGACAAAGACTTTTTAATTTCTTGGTCCTAAAAAAACATCTATTATAAACCAAGGTGAATGATTTGAGGAAAGAATATGATCTTTACTAGGTATTGTATAAGATTCTTGTAACATATTCTCTATTGTAGCTTAAAAAATATGTTTTTTGACATATTGTCTTTTGTGGCAAGCATGCTCTTTATTTTGTAATTACATTTTTTCTTCGAAAAATATTGAAAAATGTGTTTAGGTTCTTTATAATGTAAGTATAAATCTTCTTAATAATATTGAATCTTTTTTTAGCTAATTAAGAATTTTTAAATGTACCATATTAATTTGCATTGATTTTGGCCTTGATCAATAAGTTTATAAAAACTTAATAATTATTGCCATGACTTGACTTGTACCTCTCTAATCAAATCTTTATTCTTAACATCTTTCAAAAAAGTTGATTATTCCATTGAATGACTTAAATAATAACTTGTTCTAATAATTTTGCTTTCAATATTGTCAATAATAAGTCTTTCATATTATCTTTCAACTCATATTGAAATTAGTTGATAAGAGCTTTGTCATTTTAGTCTACATTGCAAGTAAGATTTTGGAATTTTGGAGCATATATGATAGAAAAATGTAGTCTTTGTCATAAAGATGAAAATTTGGTCTCTTCTACACTTTCACAATTATTTTCATCAAATTTAGTTTAAAAATATTCTAAGAATGAATTAAGATCAAAGAATAATCTTCAATCTTTTTCCATTAAGGATACAAATCAAGAAAAAACACTTCTAGATAAAAATGTTTACATGGATCCAACTTGAATAAATCCATCAAACTATTAGGTAGAATGTAATCTTAAATAGTACTTTACTTATTATAAAAAACCTCAAATTTTGTATCTTATTTTATCAAACTTCTCTAATATACTTATTCTTGCATCCTTCATACTTGTAGTAGTAAGACTTCTTGCATTCAATTATGTGTCTGATCTATTTGCTTCTTTCAACTGCAAAACTTTTAGATATAGATTTTAAACTTCATTGTTAATTTCTTTTATAGGTATAAGAATAGCACTTCTATAATTGGCATTGATAATATGTGAGATTTTTACCTTAAGAATGTTGAATAGTTGGTGAAGATCTACAATAGTTGCAAATCTATTCTTACTTTTGTTGAGTGTAGCATTTATAATTTTTATTTTTATTTTTATAAAAAACAACTTTAATAAGTTCACAAATAAAATTACAAATGGATAATCTATAATCTTTAGTATTAAATTAAATATTTTACAAAGAAGAGTAGTCTATTTTTTTTAAGAAATGAATCAATGTTAGAAGATAAAAAAAAATATTAATTTAATACTCTGTAATTTGTAAGCTATAAAGTATAACAAAAGAAGTGAGAGAATACTTTTACTTCTAAAATAAATAAATTAATTAATTAGTACTCTTATCTAACTATCAAGGATATGATTTATGAAAAATCAAAGAGTCAATATACTCTTATGTTGCTCAAAAATGATAGATAATCACTCAAAGATGGTATAATATTAAGACTAGAATGGCTATTGACAAAGACAAGAAGATTAGAGACTCTTGAAACAAGACTAAGAATAAAAAATTTATTAACAAGAGTGAAAAAGACTTTACTTTTGTCTCCATATATACTATTTCAGAGCTACATGGTAATGTTCTATAAGACCTCTAACACGTATTCAACCTATAAGACACGTGTCTAACTTACAAGATAAATTTCCTACATGTGTGCTACATGACCAATTTGTACCACAAGCCACTAACATCTACAACACATGGCCAACTTATTGGCCAAGTTTTCAACCTACCAATTCACTACAAATACATCTAAACTCAAATTCTTATCTATTAAGATTCTAAAAAGCTTCACCATAATATATTATTAAATCTATATATATTTACTTATTTACGTGATATTCTTTATCTAAGTAAATATATATGTCTTTAATAGTCTAAAGGTAAATGTGATAACAAAATGACAACCATTATTTTTGATCTATCAATGATAATTCTTTCTTCATTTTTTTCGAATATTTTTATAGCAAATAGCCACAATAAAGGAGTGTCTATATATTCTTATATCTATAGTTTTTTTTTTTATTATTATTATTATTATTATTATTATCATTATTATATTTTTTAAATTTTTATTAAAGTTAAATTTTGATATAAGAGACTATTTTCAAAAACTATACTTTATCTTGTAGTTAAATTAGGATTTCTTTATGTTTTTATTTTTATTTTTTATTTTATTTTTATTTTTATATTTTATATCTATCAACAAGTATATAAGCCATTTTTACATGTTCTTAGAATTTATATAATTCTATATTTTTTTGATATTTTTACTTTATTTATTTTTATCTTAATAGCTACTTTGATAAATTCTTCTACATCTATTATCTATTTAATGACCTAATGTATATGTTCAAGCAATCTTTGCTTCATCTCTTCTAAACTTTATGGTTGACTAGATTATTGCTACTTTAATATGGAACTCAGATAAAATTTGTTTTTTTTTTTAATATTTAATTTAATTTAAAATTTTAAGATTGGTCAATTTCTTGTAGTATTTTATGCTATAACTTATTTTTAAGAAAAAAAATTAGTACATAAATAGATTATTGTGGCTAATTAGAATATTTTTTTATTTTATATGTTACTAAATTAATAACTTTTAATTTAAGGCCTAACAATTTAATATTCTTTTATTATCTTTATCTTCTTCTAAAATTTATAAAACTCTTAGAGCTACTTATAAAATAAATTTAAGATGTTTTTTTTATAAGACTTGTTAAAGTCAAATAGATAAAAAATCTAATTACATTCCAACTACCTCTACTTTTTGGATTCTAAATTGTTATTTGATTAAAATGAGATTTTGAACTTTACAAGATTAATCTTGTTGTAGTGCAATATGGAAGAAGGATTTTGACCTTTTTTATAGTTCATTTTGAATGCACTTTAAAATAAAAGTGATATTTTTAGATATTTTAAAACTAAACTAATAATTTGTACTTCTTTTGATATATGTTGGAAAAGCCATTGAGATTTTTTAATTTTTTTTTATATTAAAATATAGTTTATTTCAAATAAAATAATTATAATTACATGACTAATAAAAAATACTATTAATTGGCTTTAATAATATCATTATCTTCTTTTATTTTAAAAAGTATTATTTAACAAGAAATTTGAAATACTTATATGATAAACTTTCAAGTCATGGATTTTAAAAAACAAGAAGAGACCAAGAAATAGATCAAATCACTTTTTATTGCAAGTCAAAATTTACCAATTCAAATCTTTACTCAAATAACTAAAAAATAATAAAAAAATATATTCTTATTTTTTTAAAATTGGTTTTTTTGAGAAATTTTTTGACATGTCTTCTCAATTTTTTCTAAAAACCACCCCTCAAAATTGGTCCAATAAAAAAAATCAAGAAAAAAAAATGCATTCCACCTTATCTTTTTCTCATAATGTTCTTAGGCTATTTTTTCTAAATATGCAGCCCACTAAGTGAAGCTTCTGAATTCCAACCAATCAAAAAAATTTAAAATTGTGACTTCTCACTTTATCTCGTAAACATAAAACCCTGTACCAAACTAGACACAACAAAAACGACAGAGTCATGATTGTGTTCAATATTTTGTTAAGCCACGTTTGAGTAATCAATATCTGACATTGTTATGTGCGACAGTATAAAGACTATGTGTCATCGAGAAGATACCTTATTACCAATTTTACTGTCTTACACGGATTTATGATGTAATGTTCACATGTTTGTGTGACAGTGTACAATAACAACATAAAAAACTCCTACAAACATTGTCAGAATATTACAATGTCGAATCTATTATTAAAAAAACCAGTTCTTACATATTCATTACGGCTCTATTCCCAAAGCATGGCACTCCCTTTTGGACCAACGGCGCCGCAGTCTGGAAGTCGCAGCACGAGTTTCTGATCGTCACCGATCGTCACTCGCTGCAGCTGCCGCAGCGCAATTCATGCAGCCACGTTGTGATGAGACTCGTAAGTTCTTCCAGATGAGATTGTACCGATGTGAAGGAAGGAGGGGAAGGGTCTGTGTTGGACGAGTTGCAGTAGTGAGTCAATTGTGCATTGCAGCAGGTAATTGTTTGAGAAATTGTTTGAAGAGGGTGGAGAGAGAGAGGTTGAACGGCTTTTATGGGTCACGGTCACATGGCGTGGGCGTGACACTGATCCCGCTGGTTTGGTCAGAAATGGCCCTTAAGAATCATTAAGTAGAGTTCCACCTGGCCTGTTTTAAGGTATTTTGGGCGTACGGGGTCTTTGCGACTGTGCTGCGATGCGTCTTTCTCTTGGCTTCTTTAATTTGCACGGAAGGAGAGAGAAAGAGGGAGAGAGCGAGAGCGAAGCGAGTGTAAGAGGAGGACAATGGACGAGCGGATGAGAAGAAATTGGTTGTGAGTGGAGGAGGATCGTGGGGGTCTGCAGAGTTGAGTTGGAGTAATGGCAGACGAAGTGAAGTCGCTATGGAATCGGTATTTGAGCAACTTGCAGCAGCACCCGTTGCGCACCAAAGTAAGGAATAGGAAAGCCTTTAATTGATTTATAGTTTGGTAAGTTAGTTGATTGTCACCTGGGGATATATGAAATCCATTTATAGACTACGTCGTCGTCGAGCATTCTTTCTGATTTTTTGACAAAGTTGGCAAAGGCTGTGATCCGACCGCTGGTTGGCAATTGTTTTTTTCTTTTACTCTTGTGGATTTTTTTTGTTCATCTTCTAATTCACTGACATTGTAGCTGATCATCTTAATCGGGTTGTAACACGCAAACCTACTACTATGCTGAACTCTGTTGATTTTTTCGAGTGACTGAATGCTCAAGTGTTGTGTGCTTTTCTTTGTCATCATTTGTTGAGGTGATACCTGCTTGATGATCTCGTAAATTCTTAGCGTTGTTATGGCAGTTAATGGAGAGGAGCACAGTGGAATGAAAATGTAATAGGCAGAGGTTTCTCTTCATATCTCATGTTTAAACCCTTGTGTGCACCTTTGCCTGAGGGATGTGGAGCTGAGCTTTTGTCCTTATACCGAGGTTTTAAGAGTTATAGAATTTTTGTTCTTGGGGCTTCATGTGCTCGAGTTCATTTAATAATCGTTTTCAATTAATGGTTCATTTCAAGACCATCTTGCGATAGCATCTAATCAACTATTTTTACATTTGTCTGGCTTCTTAATATTTCCAGCTTCGAGTGTAGGGTCTATCAATGTGAATGTGCTAACGTCTTAACACCTTTGGTTGTTGGTGCAGGCCATTACATCAGGAACATCAGGAGTATTGGCAGGAAGTGCTGACATGGTTGCTCAGAAGTTGGCTGGAGCGAAGAATCTGCAGTTTAAGCGTTCTTTTCTTCTCATGGTTGGGACTTGAAGGCTTAGTGGATGCGTGTTGCAAATGTTTTAAGTCGTCAAAATGCACACTTTAATGTAGCTATGTTTATGACATCTGACCAAGTACATAACAATACTTGCAAAGTTACTATGGTTGTCTCAATTTTTTCAGCTTGAGAATTGGCCTTCACTGGTGATCAACAATGATTCTCTAAATTTTGGCCCGAAGACCTGGATCTTAGTGCTTCTCCTGTCTAGTTCCTCCTGCCAATTGTATTTCCTGGGTTGCAGCTCTATGGTTTCTGTTATTCAGGACCATTCGGACATTACTTCCACTGGCTTATGGAGAAACTCGTCCCTGCAGCTCGCGATAGCAAGACAATAGTCAGCAAGTCAGTTCTTTGTGCAGCTTGACAATATCTTGATGCTTCTTCATTTTCTTTCTCAGTTTTTCATTTTTATGAACTGTTTTAAAGTATTTGAGTTTCTATACATGTAAAAACATATAAATGACGGATGATTACTATTTTTTTTTTTATTGTTATTATTATCACCAAGTGTAATTACCCAGGCATTGTTGGTAAACTTTCTTGAAAATTACTGTAATTGCAATTATTCCTCTTAGGTTATTGTGGAGCAGCTGACATCTAGCCCATGGAACAACTTTCTTTTTATGACCTACCTTGGTATGGTGGTTGAAGGTAAATTTTCGATGATCCCCTTATCTCCTGCAGTTGCTTAATTCTCAATTGTTCCATCTTGTATGAATCGGTGGCCGCAGTTTCCTTTTACATAACAGCAGAGACTAGGGTGACAATGACTTGCTTTTGTGTATGATTCAGAATGAAGTGAGTATATGGTCCCTTGTTTCTTCGTGAGCCTTTGAATGAAAGTGTTGGTTTTTGACAACTCAACTTAATGATAATCTTCCCAGGGAGAAAATGGAGCTCGGTTAAGAGTCAGCTTAAATCACATTTTCCATCCGTACAGCTAAATGCTTGGAGGGTACCATTTTGCATCTGATATGCTCTTTTCTGTATGGTTATCGCGCTTTTTTTATTTCAACGGTCAGATGTATCTGTGTGAAAAAACAGGGGGTTGCGAATTATTTCAAGCCTCTCTTTGCATGTAGAATATAATTAACATTCTAAACAGAATGGGGAGCGGTGACGCCATTGTAAATTTGCTGCATGAAGTTCAACTGAGACCGAATGTTAAATTCACTCGTCAATGTTGGTGGGGTGGCGGATGTGATGCAGTTCTGGCCGTTGGTCGGGTTGATTAATTACAAGTACCTTCCCATTCAGCTGCGAGTTCTTTTCCACAACTTAGCAGCTGTGTGCTGGTAAGAGCCTGAGGTCCTCGTAAACATGAAAACTGCTCTCAGGATATGCTTTTTGCAAAGGGAGCACTTCACTCAAAGTCATCTTTCTGTGAAACTTTGAAGCAGCTTATTTCTACAGCTTATTGAGATTCTTGTTTTCGAGCTTGAAATGACGATTCCATGACTTTTTGTTTGTTTGGAATCGTTTCAGGGGAATATTCTTGATACTTCGTTCCAAGGCATCGGTTCCCAAACTTGCCACTGCATAGAGCATTGTAAGAGGCTGTAGAAGTCCGGGTGAGTGCTTTACCTAGGATCCAGATCTTACGTAAAGTTCTTGACTGTTGGTGTATAATAGTTGCTAGTTTTGATTTCTTTTTTTGTGTAACAGAATTTCATGATGCAGAATTTTGAGATCTCGGATAAATCTTAGTAAACTGAAACACGTTAATTATTTCTTTGTAGAAAACCATCCAGCTTTTGCACTTAATTCATCGATTACTCTTTTTCAACTAAATCACCTATTGCCCTTGCCCTTCTTGTTAATCGAAACATCTTTCAATTTCGCCATTTTAATCTCCAGAATCCAACGGTTGGATTGAAACACGTTTATCTTATAGAAATACTTCTGGTGCAATCCTCTTTGGAATTTGCATGCCTGTGCCTTGTGAGGTTTTACGGAGATGAAGTATCAGGGAAAGTTAGGAAACTAATGGTGCCATCAGATGGAATCTGTACACATATATTTTTAATTGGGGATGGAAAGACAAGACTGTAGTCTCTACCTGAGGGAAGTAAATCCCTCTTCAATCTAAATATGCATTACTACGAGTCCACCACTATGTTGATGCATGAATCTCTTATAATCCTGTATTCTTGATGATCTTTGACCTCAATCACCTCACTCTCAACAATTCGTGTGGAATATTAAGATATGTCTTCTATTACATAAATTATTCCATTTAAAAAAAATCTTCATTGATGAGGTTGTCATTAGGAACACTGATGACTTTGTTTGTTTAAATATATTCACTTTCTTTTTCTTATCCTCTCATAGCAACCAATAAATAAACAAGTAGTTCGTTTTATATTAACTTGGATCTCATCTAATTTGACAAATTTGCATACAATATGCATCTCAAGATCCTAGTGTCAGCAATGAAATACGTAATTTAATTTATTATTTAATGGTTTTATTTTTATAAATAAATATAATAAAAGAACATTAACACAATATTAGTTTTTATGTGCATACTACATTGATTATTATTTTTGTAAAACAATTCATAGTTGGTATTGATTGTATGCAACATATTTTATTATATTCATAATCTTAGACTTTGACTGCTTTGAAATCTTAACCTTTCAATTATGAAAAGATTATTTTTTTAATTAATTTTTTTTAAAATAATAATAAAGCTCAAAACACATTAAAAAAAATCTAAATACTTCTCCACATATAACAAAGTTTTTTAAAGATAGTATTTAATGTAAATAAAATAAAATAAAACTTTATACCAAATTTATATACTAAGTAATTATTTTTAAAATTTTAAAATTTATCAGAACAAATTTATTTGTAATTAGCATAACAAATAATTGATATGGATGTAGATGTTTATTTTTTATTTTTTTCAAATCATCATTTTTACACTTTGGCAAGATTTGTATCTATGTTTTTAAATATATATATATATATATATATATATATATATATATATTATAAATTTTATTCTTATATTTTACAAAATGATAAGAAAATTATACAATAGAAATGACATGTAATTAAAAAAAACCTTTTTATTTGATGTTAATATATATTTAGATGATTATTTTTAGTTTTTACTTATTTATTTTTATAATAGTTAAAAATCTATTAAAAAATTAGTTAATTTTATTTTATATAACGTTTTAAAATTTTGAATTAATTATAAAATATAAAATAAAAATCTCAATGATAATGATGTATTTATTAAATTTTATATTTTTAATTTTAAGTTCCTTTAAATTTTTAAAGATTAAAAATTTATAAAATAGATTAGAATTATAAAAGACATAATTCGCAAAAGCCTAAAATATTTTAATAGTTTTTACTAATAATTAGAATCATAATTTTTATTTTTATTTTAATAAATATTAAAATTTAATTTTTTAAATTAAAAAGTATAAAATTTGGTATTTTGTTAGATAATTTTATGATGTTACTATATAAAAATAAAAATAAAACCGATCTAAATATTAATAGATTAAAGAAAGATTCTAAAATAACTATGAATAAATTTAAAGGAAAGGCTTGTATACTAAAACTTCACAAGAATCAAAAAAAGATTTTTATTTTATATTTTAATTCTTTTAATTTAATTTAATTTAATTTATATTGATAATTTATAAAATTAGAGATTTTTTATTTTAACTTCTAATAATTCAAAACCTATTATTATATTATATTATTATCATTATTTTTACAATAGAAGTTATCTTGCCTACAATGACATTCTGATTTTTGTAAAAAAATAACTTACAAAATTTATTAAACAAGTTTTTAAAAGACACTTAAGAAAAAATAATAAAGTCACTTTGAAGATTCTATATATGTATGAAGGATTTTAAAAGAAATTAAATAGAACCTTTTTTTAAGAATAAACATTTAAAAGGTTTCTTTACAAACACATTTAATACACTAGTATTAGCATCAGTTTTATCCTGGTTCAGCAACCTACACTTTTTAACTAATTTTAAAAAAATCACAAGTATTTAAATCACATTTGAATCCAAATTGTACTAAGTTAAGTTACAAACACAATTTGACCAAAACAATCATTAAAATAAAAGTATATATATAAAAAAATATTTTATACTTACAGCAAAACACAATTGAAACTTCATATACTTTATCTTTGACTTACAAAAATATATTTTGACATCTTGGGTATAGAAAATCCTAATCCCTGTTACAATCAAACCAATCACAAACCATGCCCTAAGATAATGAAGAAATCAAGATTTGAAAAAAAACCCTTAATAATTATCTAGAGTTTGATCAAGTCTAATCTTTAAATATGTTTCTAATAAAACTGCAAAAACTTTGACAATGATTGCTAACTTAACAATCATGTAATTTGTCCACCTTTGAAAACATTATGTCAACATTGGTGATATATGAAGTAATTGAACATCGATCGTGAAAAAAAAACTGTTGATTTAAAAAAAAAAAAAAAAAAAAAAAAAAAACCCTCAGTCCAAAGCAATAGCAATTTTCAATAGATACTCACACCAACTAGTATAATTTCACACGGGAATTTAGTCAGATTGGTTCAAAAATTAGTACCTTGATGATAGTCCGAGTAATGACAAAATCGGTGCAAACTCGTTTCGGTTCAGAAACACAACGTAAGGAATCAATTCAAAGCTAGAAACACTATCGGACTCCAGGTGAACAATGAATAAATAAACCTGGAGAAAAAAACGACCAGGCAGCACCTAGTAAAACTAGCTTCCAATAAGGCTGTAAGCCACGGTCTTTCAGAATGGTTCAACAAAAGACCCCTCTGCAATTGAATTCTCCATCCTACTTCACACAAATTATGCATCTATTACTAGTAAGAAATTACAATCTTCAACAGAACTCAATACAAAGAAGTAACAATGCGCCTCCTAACAATCGACTCACTAAGCTATAATATCCTCCGGTTGCCATAGTTGCTTCCGGGCAATCAAGATTTTTTCCTCCCGATCAGAAAGGGCATCCTTTTCAGCGTCAAAAACCTCGGACCATAAATTCCAGTGCATTGCGTCCAGTTGCTTCCTAACCTCCTCGACCAGGGAGCCTTGATCTCGTATAATCACAACACCTTGTGGCCGTAAGAGCCTGTCCATCTCTAGGAGCAGATCCGTTGGACTGCAGTCGTGGTTGTAAATGTCTGAGAATACGTTCCACGCATGCAGCAAGTCGTATGTACGAGGGTAAGTTGAATATGCCTCACACCTGATGGTTCCACAAAACCACTTCATTATTTGCAAGAGCAGAACTTGCTAAAAAAAATCAATCAATTAATAGAAAAGATAGACTCGACAGATTGTGCAATTAAAGACTAATGTTGCAGGAAAAGACCAACAATAGATAATTTCACAAAACAAAGTGAGTCAAATTACAGACGTAGGGATTGAGACCAAATGAAAACCATACCAATCATGATAGGAGCCGATGAACCCACGATCATAAACGATTTTCAAGGTGCTTGGGGCCGAAATAGGAACTACGTTCATGACCCAAACTGGCAAGTTCATCCCATGCAGTGCAGCAGCAAATCCGCCAAAGTTTGCTTTCATGTCCATCACGTTCCGGAGACTGTCATCTTCCACTTGTTTAGCTGCTCTTAGCTTCTCCATGTACTTTTCTACTCTTTTCTTCCATACAATCTATTGATGCACATCACAAGAACGATATTAGGTTCTGATCCAACGAGACTGTATCCTACTCCAAAGTTTCTTCGCTACCTCAAAGCTTGAAGCTACAGATGAAAGTAGAGACAATCCCAATAACAGTCATATCTTCAGAGCCGGAGGTTGAGAACACTTAGGGTTAATCGCTATACTAGAACAATTGAGCAAGTCAAGAACAGGATAACAAGGTAGTAGGTAATGATTGATAGTACCGTGTCTGTCATGAAAGTCTGATCGTTAAATCCTAGCTCCTTCAGTCTTCGAGGGGGACTATTCATTCGATTTGGCCACGGCGCCAAATCAGTTATCCCAACATTGCTTGCTGCGATCAGTAGCATAACATGAAATCAGACTCACTACCTGTCCCTTGTAGAGCTGTTTGGATTCATTAACTTATGATTCAGTCACTCAAAGAGATGAAGGACAAAGCAACAAACACTTACGGGATGATAAAGGAGTAATACAAGTCTGCATTGGCTCCTGCCATCCCAAGTCTGCGTCAGTACTGACACTACACAACGGAGGCCGAGTTCCCGGTGGCCGTTTCTCGTAGCATTCATTTGTGAGTGGCTTAGCCCATATAACCGTTTGGTTCCTTTTATCAGCGATTGTCCAACACATTCTGGTCACGAGATCAACCATCTCTGTCCATTCCTGTTTCTCTACTGGATCATCTCGATACACAGGAGGAGAAGACCAAACAAAGTAACCTCCAGGTCTCAGAATGCGATCTATTTCCAGCAGTAAGATTCCATCCCGTTCCCTCCAGTTAATTCGACAACGGGAACAGTGGGCCAGATCAAATGACTTGCTTGGGTAGGGAAGCCGCATTGTGCCCAGAACACCCAACGTTGCAGGAATGCCTCTCTCTAATGCAAACTGTATCTGGTTCTGGTGAACATCATTGGGGGCCAAAGACATGGCCAGAATGTCCAAAGGGAGTAAGTAAGCCCCAAAACTTGCCACTCCACATCCCACGTCGAAGACAGTCCTGATCTTGCCACCACTGCTCAAATTACCATCCTTGTTCTTCAGCATCTGAGCCAAGACAACGCACTGCTTTCATTATTCCAAGGAAACTGTAGTCCCTCACTGACATGTTTCTTGATAATAGCGCAGATCTTTACATTTAATAGTGAAGTTCACTATCCCTCACATACTTTCCAACTGATCTCACGATATTGCGTTGAAATAAAGGAGAGAAGCCTGGTTGCGACCTAACACTGTAAAGAGCTAAAAGGGGCAGATGGTTCTCGTATTACCTTCTTCAACCAGCCGAGACCATGTCAAAGCTTAGCATATTCATAGAAACCAGTGCAGTACAGAAAGCACACACAAAGTGAATGTGGCCAAGTCACAGCTTTAACGTTGTAAAAACCACAAAGAAAAGAGTAAGAGAGTTCTCACCTTGCCAAGATGGGCAATGTACTTATCTGCACCGTTCGGAAAATGTGTGCCACCCCCTGGAAAGTTCACTTTTTCCCCATTGACGACCATCCAATGCTGATCTGACTTTTCAGCTGCGAGAAAAGTGTGTGGCACATTCGCTTGCCAAATTTCATCTCTACTTTTCGGCCATTTAATGGGTACCTGCCCTCCGTTTGGTACAATGGGTCAATCCAAGAGAACCAACAGTTATTCGATACTACGTTAGCAAGATTAACGTTTACGGATAATTACAAAAGAAGGACTTTTGCCTCGCTACAAAAATGGAAAAGAATTACACGATGCTTGCACATCACAGGCATATATCAGAAGCTTAATGATACAAAATATAATGATGTAATCCCCATGATCTTAGGTATGTCTTAGTTTGGTCTACGTGAGCGAAACACTAAAACAGACAGGGCATCAGAGCGAGATTATTAAAAGCACCTTAAAATTTGGCGGAGGTGGAATGAGGCAATTGAGACGGTGATCAGGGGGCGGACAATGTCGCTCATAATGCTCCATCAACGATAAATTCAGCTTCAGCTTCATTTGCTTGTTCAGGTTTCTGTCTAGGCAGGGAACCAACTCTGTGTACCGAGAATCACAAACCTGCACTCAACCGCCTCAATTCAAACTCCTAAAAAACATGTAATTTTTTAGACTAAGAAAACTGCAGCCCTAAAAGACGAAAATACTAGAGAGAGTTGTTGTGCAAATGCAAGTATACCGCGGCGAATTGAAACAAAGCAAACAGTATCTTCCATACTGTATCTAGGTTAATGGCGAAGACTACTGAAATCTATTCATACGTCATGTTGCGTGGAGAGTGTCTGTTTACGAACCAACTTACAGGCATAGATTTCAATGCGATCTGAGTGACTTCATCTTCGCCTATCTCCTCTTCTGAAGATTCATCTTCGTTGCTTGTTACTTCATCCCCTAATCTCAAACCCTCGAAATGACCCTTCTCTATTTCATTGCCATCGTCGTTTTCTTTCTCCGGTTCGTCCCTTATTACTTCGGCATCTTTCTCCAGTTTCCCCTCCTCCTCCTCCTCCTCCTCCTCCTCTTCCTTCTCGTCTGCTTTGATGTCTATCACCTTATTTGTGGGGTCTTCGGTGGTGACGTTTTCCGAACTTTTCTCAGCCTCAACCAAAGGATCATTCGTTACAGACACCGCCTTCGTCACAGCCCAATCAATGTGTGTGTTCCCAAGGGTTTTAATTTTGGAACGGTGGTGGCCGAAGAAGGAGCTGTGCTGGAGCGAGAGAAGGAATAGTATGCCTGCCATTGTGCATGACAGGATAACTAGACGTCGACTCTGGGCGTTTCCATCGCTGCGACCCCTCAATCTCAAGGCGGGTGGGCGACCAGACATTGCGGTTTGCTGACTAACTACTCACTCACGACTATAAATACAAAATGCTCACCAGCAGTTCTCCTGTTCCATTCTCATCTTATATCTCTACACCTCCCTACAATTCTCGCCATGGCGAACTATCCCTTGTGAAGTGATCTACAATTTCCGCTCTGTGATACCAACTTCCTTCATGCAGCCCCCTTTCTTCCACAGCTAACGAGTACTTGTAGCTTGAATCGATCACAAACCCTTGCGCAAAACAACATTGTCCAAGTTTTGATAAACTCAGTTAACTCAACAATCGCAATCACAGGCACTGAATCCTACTATCCATGGTGAGCATCGCTGAAACATTGAAGTAGACGAAATGTCTCAACGCTCAAGGTGACACCCTAAACTTCACTTCTCTATACCACGAGAAATGCAATAATATGACCCAACTTACAATAAGGGCATGTTAAACCACCCAATGCAAAATTCCAACAGAGTCGCTGCCACCATTGCAAGTTACAGAGCCGATACAAAACTAGGTGCCCCAATCATCAACGCATGGAAGGTCTCCTGCACATAGGGTCAATGCCATCTCCCGATCACCAGCAACATGCAACACTTTGAGGGGGCCGTGCAGACATACCTGAAACCACAACAGCAGTTCTTGAAACACACAGAAGCGGGGAAAACAGCACCGAGATAAGCTCCCTGAACCCTTCAAATTGGGCTAGTAAATTAAATTATCACTCTGCCACCCTGCACAAGCCCTGAAACTACCAGGTTCCTTAATTTATTATTCATCCGTCTAGGACTGGCCTCAACAGAACCGTGATCACGACCCATATGCTGCTTCGCCATTCAAATCACGGAATGGGGGGTAGGCTACTTCCACCACTGGAAACCACCGAAATACATGAATTCAGGATGGTCAGGTGTGGAGATGAATGTATGTGACCACCTATGCACTACATAACACAAGTGTTTAAAATGCAAAAGGAGTTCATTGTGGTTTCAATAGGACAGGCTTCAGGGGGACCTATTCACGAGACGGTGAAAAGCTAACCTAGGGGGAACTGCCTTGCATTTCGCGAGGTTATCAACAGGTTGGAGAATGTGCATCCACAAACAGACAGGATTATGGTTTCCTAGGATATGCATTCATTTTGCTCATTAAAACAGGGCATGACCCTATTTTAGCGCAAAACTCACCACTTCAGGTGACCCACTTGCGATGTTGACCTAGGATTTTGGGTGCCTGAGATTGAACAATTGCACTGCACAATTTCCAGGCTCGGAAATGAACACAAAATATCTACCTGTCAATGGCTCCAGGCGCTTCACTTTTCGGAAAATGTCCTCCCCGAAGCATGTGAGCCCACTGCAGCCGTGCAGGGTGTAGATTTCTATATACCCTAAATACCTGGTGACGGGTATATTAGGGTATTGGTATGGTTTTGGCGGCGTATGATAAGGGTATGGAAGGATATAGAAGGATATGGAAGGGTATGTGAGGAACCAAGCTTGCGGTGCTCGTGTCGTCTCCCTCTTTCTGCGCCCATGGTACTCTGCTTCGTAGTCATTGTCACATAAGAAGGGTCTCATGCAGGATTCTTCAGCCGTGACAGCCATGTCGTCGTGACCGCCGTTCTTGATACTGTTTCTTATTCGGCTTCGTCGGCGGACACCCTTTCAACTTTGGAGGAGCAACCTTGTGCGCCTTTTGAACTTTGTCAGGTACCTAAATTTTGTATTTCGCTCTTTAGGGTTCACTCGTACCAACGTTTCTTTTTTATTTCTGTGCATTTGTGATTTGCAACCGCAGGTTATCGAATTTTTTGGCTGTGAATTTATGTCTGAGTCCGTGTGTTGTAGATAATCATGGACTGGAGTGGTGTGATAGAACTGTGAATTTTAACATGTTAACGAGAATTATTTTCTAGTAATTTTGCAATGCGCTAATCGTAAGAATCACGGACTGCTTAGATGGTTAAAACTACGAGATAACAAGTTTGACGCTACGAAGGCTTAGTCATGGTTTTCTTAGGATTTCCTGCTCTTGTGTTATGGAATTGGATGAAATTTGCTTAGAAATTACTTGGTGGAGGTCTTAACGTAGCGTTTGTGAAGAAGGGGTAATGAAGAAGGAAGACTATCTGCCGACATCCTTACATCTTAGATCTTTGGTTGCGTGAAGTACCTCTGTTTACCATTTTTGTCATGCCACGATGACAGAGTTTTCCGACTTGCAGTTTTTATTTTTGTAGAAATTCGCTTTGCTTTGTGGTTAATAGACTGACCCCGGATGTTTTCTGCCTGTGTTGGCCCAGACGCAAGTTGGGAAGGATTGTAGCAGGTTGTAGCACCTGCTTAGGGTTTTAGGTCGCGCATAACAACATAAGAAAAGGGTAGCTTATGGCCTTTGGCTCTCAAGAGGGTTGGAAAGCTGAAGATGGAGCAGCAGATGATGCCTGGAACGACAACACTCCGGTTCCCGTGCCCGTGTCTGTGCCTGCCAAAGTTTCCTCATCGACCCCTGTCGTGCTCAACAAGCTGAGTTACTGCAAAGTTGTGAAGGCAGATACCCTTGCGAACAAAAATTCTCAAGTATTAGAAGCTGACTCGGATCATTGTCACTTTCTAGAGTTGCCACCAGTCTTGATTCTGGAAATTTTCACACATCTCGATGCACGTGCGTTGTGCCTCCTCTCGTGCACCTGTGTTCTGTTTAGGCGTCTTGCTTCAGACAGCCATGGATGGAAGAATTTTTACTGCGAGCGTTGGGGCCTCCCCGCAATTCCAAGCACAGGGGTGCTTGGGATATCCACACCGGGAAAGTCATGGCGGGAGCTTTACATGGCACGGGAAGAAAGATGTAAGGTCCTGATGGGGCGTTTCCAAACGGACATGTTGCTCGGCCATACTGAACCTGTGCGCTGCATCCGCCTTCTCCCTGTTGCCAACCTTATTATCACCGCAGGATATGATCAGGTTGTGCGCGTGTGGAACTTGGAGGAAGGTCTGCCATTGGTTTGCTCTCGACCTTTGGGAGAAACTTTGCGTGCTATCGGAGTAGACATGGAGCTACTTGCAGTAGCAGGCAGCGATGCTGTGATCAGGCTTTGGCGTGCGATCCCCGAGTGCCCGCAACTGTTTGATGTAGCAGGGATTTGGGGTGGTCCGAACAGCAAAGGTGCTGAAATCTGTTTGTATGGTCACAACGGCCCCATTACATGCCTTGGTCTAGATGCCGCTAACATATACAGCGGTTCGTGGGATATGTCCATTCGAGTGTGGGATCGAGTTACTTTGCTTTGTGTCAGTCAGTTATTACACAACGATTGGGTATGGGCGCTGGTGCCTCGAGGGCGCCGTCTTCTTAGTACTGCTGGTAGTCATGTGTACAGTTGGGATATTGAGACAGGCCAGCACCGAATGCGTGAAGGGGTTCATTTAGGTCAAGCATATGCAGTTCAGGGCAGCTATTCCGGTCACTTCATCTTCACGGGAGGCGAGGACGGCGCGGTGCGCATGTTCGATGATCGGTTCTCAAGGCGACATAATAATGGATACAAGACTAATACTCTTGAACCGATTGCAGTTTGGATGCCTCACAGGGGAGCCATCCACTCTCTCGCCTTTGAGGATCCATGGCTTGTTGCCGCATCGGCAGACGGAAGTGTAGCCATAATGGACGTTAGGCAGATCATGGATAAAGCCAGTGGTAGTGGGAAGAGACTCCCATCTTCCTCTACAAGGTCAAGAACCACGTCTTCCTCTCAGATCGTCGGCAAAGCGGGAGAAGAAGCAGTGCAACGTTTTCTGCCTGGCTTACACCATTGTTCATTCAGCGTAGACATAGGTGCAGATCGTGTAGTAAGCGGGGGAGATGAGAAAACTGTGCGAATATGGGATTTCTCCCAGGCTATTGAGATAGAACGTAGCATTCAAGCCTCTAGAAGAAGCAGACCTCGTCGTCGTTCCAAAAAGGCTGTCGCACCTGTTGTAGAACAGCTCGCCAAGCTTGAGACCAGAGGTGTGATCACTTCAAGGCCTGAAGTTGCGAGCACTTCAACAAAAGTAGTGGGGCATCAAGCAGCATCAAGATGGGTTACTCTTGGACGCATCAGGAAGAGCCAGACTGTTGGCGCCTTGTGATAGAGTGAACCATAGTTTTGGCTTTTGAAATCTTGGAGTCCGGATGATGCCGCCGAATTTAGTTCTATCAGTTTTGACATGCTCTGGTTGGAAACTGGTTGCATTCTTGAGTACATGCTTGAGCTTCTTCATTCTCTTAATGCTTGGTTTTGCCTTTTGTTGCAACCGATTTTTTGTAAGATAATTGTTCCTCATGGTTGCTCAAATGGGTGAACGCATCTTTGAAACTTCATGTTTGACTTTCAATCCATTTTTTTTTCTTCTTGTTTTTCTTTGAGTATGGACAGGGCCACAAAATTCCAATCCAAACCTCCAATTAGGAAATGCTGGATGGTTCCTTGGAGGTTTAGACCATGCAGCATTTGGAGTGTAAGGTTTTTATTATATTCCAAACCACAAGTACTCCACATCTTTTTCTAGTGCACACACATGAAAGAGGACCAGAAACCAGGACTCCTTATTTTCGGGAATTGTCAAAAAGAAACCCAAAATTAGCTTACATCCTGATTGAAATGTGATTTTAATTTTTGGAATTTACACAATTTTGTGCACAAATATGCAACATTTGACCACCAACATTGACATATCTTTGATTATTCATAGCTTGGAACATAGTGCTGCAAACTTTAAGTTTTGGCATTGTGACCATGTTCCCAAATATGTATAAGTGGTTGTGATCAATTTGCATGATGCATGTTTTAGCATTGTGATTTGTATCAAATTAGTTGTGTATGTGTTCACCTTGCACATAAATTCATTTGTTGCTTAGCATTGTGAGTTTTTTTTTTAGACTTTCATGTTAACTTTGGAGGCTCTTCGATTTAATTTCATATTCTAAGATTTTAGCTTTTCATAAATTAGATTTGAATCAAAGTTGCAATTTTGTAGTTCTTCATGTATTAGTTTTGAATCTAAGTAGCTAGTTTGCAATTAGTAACTAAATTCTGAGGAGGAAGAACAAGAGCAAGAAGAAACGTGAATAAAAGATAAAATATAACCACATCTTAATTTCAAATAAAATTTGGACTTTATTTTTGGTATTTTTAAGATGTTTTCCAAAATTAAAGAGATCTAATGATAATTCTTTTATCTCTTCTTTGAACAATCACCTTGATGGCATTAAGGTAAATCTATAGACTACAAAGCTTTAATCTCATTGAATAACATCTTAAAACATTTATAACACCTTAAAATTTTTCTCATGTTTAAAGTTGTGCTTAAAAGTACTAAAAATTTGAAAGAAGTATTTTTTGTAATAATAGTACATATCAATCTTAGATTATAGACTTTTAACTCTAAATTTTATTCAATTCTTTTAAGTTCCTAACTTATGTGTTATTTAATTTCAAAAGTTAATTCTTTGTTTCCCTTTATATGAATCATTTTAAAAGTTAACTTGTATATTATCTTAAATAAATTCTTGCTCTAAGTTGCATTAAGACTTTAAATACGGGAATTTTTAAAAATTATTTAAATATATATATATATATATATATATTATTTTTGTTATTATTATTATTATTATTATTATGTATTAAGAGGTTTTCAATACATTATTATTTTTTTGTATTCACTATGAATAATAAAAGAAAGTTTATTTTTTATTATATTACTTACTTGAATTTTTATTATAATATTATTTAAAATTTGTAGTGGTACAAATCTATTTAAAAACTAAAGCTAAAGCCACAATTAACAATCTTTGTATGTCTATTCTAATATCTCTATTAATTTACAAATATAAAGTATGAAGTTCTTAGTCAAATTCTCATCAATATACTCCTTACTAATTTTGTGGTAAACTAATTTTGTGGTAAACTGTAGATTGGTCCAAATTTTGGATAAATTCTTTCTTAAAGATTAATTGAATAATCATAAGGACAATGATTTAAAAAAAATATATGTATTCTTCTTCTCAAAAACATCTTAATAATCTTAATATTGACTTGAAATGTCTTTTAAAGTCTTTCAACCATCAAATATGGATGTGGCATAAATAGAAAAAGTTGGCCTTTTATTTATTGCATACATGAAAGCTTTTGTACCTACCAATAAAAGTTTGGTTATATTGAATTTTTGTCTTTTTACTTCGATAACAAAAATCTAGATTATAGAAAAAATCAAGGTCACAAGTAATTTAATTTATTCAAGGATTATACTTCTTTAACCAAAAGAAACCTAAAATAATTAGGTTGAAGAGAGATCTAATAATATTTAATAATACTAAATTATTATATTTGAAAGAAAGGTTTTATAGATAACATCTCTAGAAGATAACAAACAATTATCTACGACTTCTATATGTACAGGGTTACTTTTCTTAATTAGAGATATTTTTTGTTATTAACAAAGTTCTAATCTATAAAATAAGCTTAGGCTATTAAATCTAATAAGACAAAGACTTTGTAATATTTTGGCCCTAAACAAACATCTATTATAAAACAAAGTAAGGGATCTCAAGAGAAAATAAGACCTTTATTGGATGGTGCATAAGATTTGAGCCACATGGTTCTTGTTATAGCTAAATAAACTTGTTTTCCAATACATTATTGGTTTTTGGCAACCATGTTTTTTATTTTATGATTATATTATTGTCATAGATATATTATATAAAAGACCAAATAAGAAGTTGAATAGAAGAGTTTTAATAAGAAAGCTAGCAAGAACTTGATTAAACCATATAAATACTAAATCAATACCAAGAGAGATGACCTAAAACTCTAAAAGATGTATTGTCCAAACTAAAGAGCTCCTTAGCCTTGACTCCAATATATACTAGGTATTAGAAAGCTTTTCAAGAAGTTTCTATGTTGCTTGAAGACAAAGCAACCTTAAGAAGCTTCTAGAGAAGTTTTTATATTGCTTAAAGATGAAGCAATCCTAAGAAGCTTCAAAGACAACTTTCTTAATCTTCTTAGAACTTTCTAAAATCTGCTAAAATATTCTAAAAATCTTCTAAAATTTTTAAGAAACTTTTTAAATCTATTATTAGAATATTAAAAAAAACTTCGAAAATCTAATAGAATCTAATAGAATATTCTAAAAAAATTCAAAACTTTTTTGTTAGATATCCATAACATCACATCTTCTTTTAACTTTGAGTTCTCTAGGAAGCATTGGTTTTATATCTACAATAGAATGATCAAAGCTTGAGCATCATGTTTAAGATTTTTTATTTGAATTAATTATAGCATAGGCATTTTTTTCCCTTGAGAAGGTCCAATTTCATCTTAAGGATGATCTTATAAAGGTTGCAAGAACTAAAAAGATTGATCCAATAGCAATGACAAGAAAAGTTCTAATTTTAGATCTATTCTGAAATTTATTATGTATAAATTCTCTAAAAACTTTCCAACTCAATATATTAGATCATAAATAGAATACACTAAACTCTACACTTGCTACGAGTAATACTTTCTCTCTTTGTTATATATAATATTATTGTAATAGAGTATAAATAAGATGTTTATATAAAGATAGATAGTTAGAACTATGGAAGTTTCTAGAATAGGGGTTAGGTTCTTAAACCAAATAGAATCTATTGTAGAATATTCTAGAAAGAATTTAGGATGGTTATTCAAGTGGGGCCTATTATAGAACCTTCTAGAAAAGGAGTTTAAGGTAGGTATCTAGGTAGAATCTACTACCTAAGAACTTTCTACGAAGTCCAAGGTAATAGAATAAGATATAAATAGGATTAGCTAGGGTCTTTTGGGGCATTTGGTCAGATATGGTTTTGGATCTTTTTTCTTAATAAAATTTGGTTTTTCATCTTTTTGTTCAGTTTTGTTTTGTTTTGCTTCTGTTTACTCAATCTTGTCTTTCATATCTTATTTTGTTTAGTTCCGTTCAATTTTTCTTTGGTTTGTTTTATCCTATTTTGTGATAAAGCTTTATCTTGCTATAGATTAGAAGGGTTTTGGTTTTTTGAGATAGTCTGGTCATGTTTCATTAATATCAGAGCAAGTATCAAATTGTTTACTTTTGGTAGTATATCAATAGTCATCAACTAAGCCAAGAAAAATTATTGTGGTCACACTAGGTATTGTATTGAGGCTACCACGAGTAACTCTTAAAAAATCAACCCGGAGGTGAAAAGACATTATAATAGTGGAATTTAGTGAAGAAATTATAGCATGGAAGATATGGTGGAGCAATCCTACATAGAGGCTCAATTGCAACACCTTTTAGGCTAGATAGTTACTTTGCAAGGGCAAATAGAAGCCTCAAGGATAAGAGAATTGACATCTGTTAAGTTGAAATTGAATAAGCCTAGTACATACTCTAGGACTTCAAAGCAAGAAGATGTATGTCAATGGCTTTTCAACATGCGATAATACTTCCAACTATCTAGGACAAATACCATTGAAGGAATTATATATGCAGCCAGTTATTTGAGAGATGTAGTAGTCATTTGGTAGCAACATTGAATTCAAAGCTATAAAGCTTAAAGTGGATTTTGTGATTGAGAGGAGTTTGAGACTCAGTTTAGGAATCAATTTTGGCCCATCAATGCGCAGAAGATAATACATGATTAGTCAACAAATCTTACACAAGTTAGGTCGGTGCAAGATTATGTCTCTCAATTCAAATCCAAATATCTCCAAATTGACAATATTTTGAAAGAAGAGATGATGGATTGATTCCTATGAGGTTTGAAACTTAAGGTCCAACAAAAAGTGGAGCTAAAGAATCCATAAACATTTGAAGAAGAAATTTTGGATTGTAGAGAAGGCTAATTTCAAAAATTATAGAGTACGACTTATAGCACAAAGTTCTATACTGCTATCTAATACTATGGCACAACAACCAATATCAATGAAGATTGATGCCTTATAAGTGTTATTGACATACAATTGAAGAAGGTTTGAGAAGGTTCTAAGAGGTTCTAAAAGATTCTAAGAAGATTCTTGTATATCCTAGAAGGTTCAAGAAGGTTCCAATAGGTTCTAAAAATATTCTAAAAGGTTCTAATAGATTCTAAGAAAGTTTTAGAAGGTCATAGGAGATCTTGGAAGGTTCTAAGAGGCTTTAGATGAATTAGGAAGTTGCCAAAGAAGGATCTTACGCTTACTTTGTTTCCAAGCATCATGAAACTTCTCAAGAAGCTTTTTAGGACCTAGTATATATAGGAGTTGAG